ATGACGATAATACCTCAGTCTCTTTAGACATATTATATATATTTCAATTTTATATTTTAATTCATGTTATTAAAACAAAAAGTTAGCTCAATAAACTATTATTCATACCGCCTAGTGATTCGAGAAAATGGGAATAATGAAATGTCATCGATTATATCACATAATAATATGTTGTTGACATGTATGTAAAAAATTAAACATAGATTAAATTCATGAGGTTGAAACAGACCAAACTCGGAAGAGTATAGAATACAACGTAGGAAGGCTTTACTACTAATATAACACCCTGTCAAAATGGCTTTGGTGCTAATAGTATTAAAAATATATATAATCAATATTTATACTACTTTCTTCGAAAAAAGTACATTTATGTTGCAATCTATTTAGATATCGACCAAACTATTTTAAGTTTCTGGACGGGTTTGACCCAGGTGTAGTTTGGTAGTCTTGATGAAACTCCTTCCCTTTGTCAAAGTGCTAAATTGTTTAAAAAACATTCGAGAGATGTATTTGCTAATATCACTGTTGGAAACCATGTCATCAGTATAATTTTCACTATACAAAATGTTAGTAGACAAGAGGAAGTCTGAAAAGACGTCATTCGAAATCCATATAAAGGGAATGATTATTCTCTACCTTATGAGACAGTCAAGTCAAATTGGATAAAATACTACAAGACTATCGTATGATATACAAAGATTTTGATACTAGTGATCCAGAAAACTGTTATGGCACTATGGGACCCTATCTTGATATGTTTTCTGCATTTGCATAACATGTCAATTTCAAAACAGGGTGGGGTACAAAAAAGCTTTCCAGTAGCCAAATACCGTTTATCAGGGGCACATCATGTACTACTAGAAAGGACTGCATACTTATCCTCTGGAGTGAAGATCTTCCATAGTGCAAAGTATTGGGCCAATGACTGCATGGCTCTGCATGTTGAGAAGTGAAGGTATTTATGGAAAAAAGTATGCAACAGCTGTGAAGAGAACCATGTCCCATGCATAGCTAATATGATTGAGCTCACTAAGAATTCTAAACTGGCATCGGAGAATGCAACTCTCAATATACTGGTGGCAAAAATACTGTTGGTCACTACATCTAGATAGACCACCGAGTATATGCTTCCCTTTAACAATCTTCGCAAAGGTGTGGAGAGCCCAGAATGACAAGAAAACATTTTCTGAATTTTACAGTACTACAGATGAAGGAGGATGGTTGACCTACAGATGTGCCTCTACATCAAACTACATCTTCACTATATGCGGTGAAATGCAAGAAAAAGTGACGTCCCAAGAAATGTTCCATGGAAGTTTTTGTATGTATAAAGAAAATTTGTCCATACTATCCCAAAAAACTGGTTCACGAGAGAAGATATGGGAGAGTACCTTCGCTAATCAAGAAAAGTGCATACAAAGGTCTAGTGACCAAATAGACGTATAGACACACTAATAATTTTATCTCGTAAGACGTTCGGTATTTCACTTAAAACTGCAAGAAACGTGTTTACTATAATGACAGCTACATCAATATCGTTTCCACCATTAACAGAAAACGATGGCGAAATCGTCGTCAATCTTAAGACCAGCAATATTACAAAAATGCACATATCTGTCTATAGTATACGGGCCAGTAACTTGCCCTAGAGAATTTTAACTTTGCTTGCTAATCAAAAACTTAATATACCTATATAAATAAAAATAAATTTCCGTTCGTTACATAGTCTCGCTAAAAATCGATAACGGCTGAACTGATTTGGCTAATTTTGGTCTGGAAATGTTCATGGAAGTTCAAGAAAGGTTTAAAAGGTGAGAATTTAATTTTTAGGCGGTACGAAGTCTTGGTCGGCTAGTAATTAAAACTATGACTGTAATACATTATGAGCTGTAACAGTGAAACAACGTCAACCTCGTTTCCTATCTATCTAGAAAGAAAGAAAAATGTGCAAATAGCACAGCGTCACAAAGTAAAATAATATATAAAAGAAAAAAAAATAAAACAGCGCAAAAAGGCCAGAGCTCAGCTTAAATGCCGTGACCTGGAACATCCCGCATGTGTTCAGTTAATGACAGTCTTATCAAACACGTGCCGTAAACGCAAAATGCCCTTGAATCTTGGGACAACGATGGAATTCATTATTGATTTACCGAAAATGGAATATATTAACTATTAATGAATTCATATAAGAACAACATGACACGGAAGGCATTATTAAGAAAATCAAATCCTAGGAGCCAATGTGCAGTGAAACAGAGTTCTGATAAAAGTAAATTGGACATGAAAACCTATTTAAGTGGCTGAGCCCATATCAGTCATGTAATCAAATTAAAAAAAGAGAAAAAGCCTAAGAGAAGAATGCGAAAAAATATTATGAAGAAGAACAATAACATGAACAGATTTTGATTAAGTGAAATAAAAAAAAATGCTTTTTCTGTAATTTTTTTACCACCTTTGGCGTAGATTATTGGTTCCGGCCGTTAGTAAGGACACTGTAAGCTGTAGATAGACAGATATGTGCATTATTTGTAATATTTCTTGTCTTAAGGTTTCGCCATCGTAGATGAAAAGTCTGTAGCTAAAAGAGCTATAGTTTATTTTCGTGTCTGTGTAGTAGGTAGCAGTAGTAGTAGTACACTTAGTAGGTAGCAAGGGCTGTCGTCGAAAGTGACGCATATGAAAGGTTCTGTCGGCATGTCCATAGGTGAAAAACTCTATTAGGAAACGTAAATAACTGAATCATCCTGTCGACAAATAGTACAGTGGCCAGTGGCGAATCGGTCATAAGAAAACGGTTGCTGAATCCTTTATGCTACTTCTACCACGTGCTTAATATGACAATAACAATCTTATACGAATTATACATGCAAATTGCACAATAATGTGAAACCAGGGCGACAACCAATATGTAGACGATGTTTCATGAAGGATGTTTCGGAGAAGTTGACCAAAGCCTGATTATGTAAAAGACTTAAATTAAACTAAAATAAATAGTAACTATTACAATAACTACTTATTGTACTTTGTAACGGTGTGCAAGTAAACAGTTTTTCTTTCTTTCTTTCTTTCATTCTAAAATGTCAACTTTGGAGAGATGTCAAAAAAGGAAAAACGCCGAAGTTTTGGGTGAAACCCCTACTACTAACACCACTGGTCTAAGTGGTACTGAAAATCCGTTTGTGATTATTGTGATTATAAAAACGGCGTATGACAAGAGTCCAATGCAATGCAACCAATGCAATGCACGGATCATCGTAAATAGAACGTGCCGATGACTTTTAATTTTAATATTTTTTTGTTCATTACATTCCTATTGAAACATTCTAAAAGACTGCCACACTCAACTATTTTATTTACAAGTACCCCAAAGCCAGCCACTTTCGTTCACTTAAGTTTCCTTTTAGATAAGGCTATGAATCTAGGGTTGATGGAAGTAGGACAAGGACTGATCTTAAACATGTTATAGTATACAACACAAGTGCACTCGATGCTGTTTCTAAAATAATAATTGCTGTTGGGTGTGTCAATAATTTTAATTAAATCACTTTGATACTATTTGTATAGCGCCAACCAACACATACCGTCAATTTGTAAGAGTGATTGACAAAATTAGTAAGAAATAAATACTATTTGTGCAAACGTCGACCTGAAATAGACTTTTGGACAACTTTTCTAATAATAATACATAATTATAATCCAATATTTTAATATATACATATTGCGAATGTTCATGGACATATAACTTAGATAACATACTAATTGACAATGTATAGTACTGAGACAGAATCAGAATCTAGTACAAACGAATCTTGTCCACTTAGTACAAAAATTGATTACAATGAAAATGTAAATAAACATAAAAAAATCGGTAAAAATTTCGAACAGTTTAAGCTAACAGATGACCACTTTTCAACGGATACTACTGATGTGACTTTTAGTTATTTTCCACAGATGACTAAAGAAAAGAATATTATTGATGAATTGATGAGTTTTTAAAATTCATTCAGAATTTAAGGCTGGTGAAGTCGTAATGGCTATGATTAGAAAAAAAGTTCACTGTAAGGGCACACTAGTATGCAATCGTTTAAGTAATACGCATACGATTGTATGTGTGAAGTGTCTCTTTACATTATTCCTTAACTCGTCGAGTACCGTATTTATAGACACAATTAAAGAACAATAGGTTGCGGTCACCGGTGACCGCTTAGTGTATGACAGTTTAAACCCAAACAACTGTGTCCAATCGATGAAAATAAATGTAGTCAGTTGCGATAAATTATATAATCTAATTGTATGTCTGTATGACCTTGTGTGTGGAATAATATATATTTCATAGCAGTACTCAGACTTTCATTGACTTATTAATAAAGACAGCATACCTACAACCATAAAATTTACACTCACCAACAAACAATAGAAGGAAAAATAAACATCAATTTGTAAAAGCGATGAATGATAAAAATATCTAGAAGCAATATTTGACAATTAAAAATAGACTTAGTTAACTACTTTTCAGATAATGACATAACTTATATATATTTTATCTACATATTTTAAAATCTTTTTTATAATAAAATATTCAATATTTCATGTGTCAGGTATAGAAAATAAATAAAGCAAATAATAATATAACCCATATAAATATATTGCGAGTGTTGAGTGACATATATATATCTTGGATAACAAAGGAATAGACGATGTCAAATGTTGCCCACTTAAAAAAGGCAGTTGCGAAAATATTACTCTACTGAATAAATCCGTGCAAGAGACAACAATAAGACAAAACCAAAACTAAACAGCTGCGTTAAAAACTGGAATACGCCCGAAAGTAACCACTTTAAAAACTATACCTAGAAAACAGAAAAAAATATTCTACCGAACTATATAAGAACATTTTTTATATAACGAAAACTTTTCAGACTTGTCTCTTTTCTGTAACAACCATAATATGTAATTGGTAAATAGTGACAGACCATAGATAATAATAGGTTTATTGAACTAACTGTACACCTGTAACATAATGTACACCTCTGCCTACCCCTTCGGGGATAAAAGGCGTGATGTTATGTTTGAACTGACTGGTATTTACGGTATTCAAATATAAAGCCAGTCGGTGTGAGGATGAATGAATTTGCACTTTAATATGTATGAAATGAAGATTAAAAAGGAAATCAACGCACTTTGGCTATTTGGTGAAGAAATTCAATTGGGTTGCGTTGATGAATGTACAGAAACCTTTGTTCAGTTGGTGGTAGGGTTTAACAAACAATTTCAAGTACCTGTTGGACTGGCCGAGCATTTGCCTCGCGAGGCTGCTCGCTCAGTCAGCACGCGGCTAATTACGAGAGAGAATGCATTGTTTTTGAGGCAAACGTTGGGAGCGCTAATACGACCTTCGTAACCATGTAACAAAAAGCTCTAAATGTATGTACGATTGCCTGACTATCCTACATAACTGAACGAAAATGAAAATCTTAATGTAAAGATTAAATAAACCACTTAGTGGCAACTAAGTATTTATTTCAGTAAAACAAGCTAAAAAAATATGTTTAAAACATTTTGGTTTTACAATTAAACGGACTTCTAAATATTATTGTAAAATTGTACCTATTTATATCTTGAAACTTATGTATATTGCTTACAAAACTTTTTCATACTAAATATTGTGAACAAAAGAGGCTTGTGTAGGTTTCCTGCACACGTTTGAGAAGATACCACGACGACTCGAAGCAACTTACTGGAATAAAAGAGAATACACACGTTATTCTGTAATAAGATAATGAACAAAAATACATCTACTTTTTATTAGAATCATTTATTTTAATTATACCAGAAAAGTACTTTTAAACATGAAACAAATAATTTAAAGTCCGAATACTGAAAGCGTACTCAATTTTTAAGTTGTACTTAAATATCGTGTCGTTACAAAAAAAATATAATGACAGAACTATACTTCAGCGCAATATAAAAGTTAGTACCTAGACTTTCAGTATTCGGGGGTCAGTCTGTCAGATAGTCCTCTAGAGAAGTAAAGTATTTGCTTTCCAAGGCGTAGATTCGTATCGAGAAGAACGAGCAAGAAACTCCACATAGGCCTTAAACGACCTACTCAATAACTTTGTGATATTCGCTATCAACACCCCAGGAAAGTTTTCTAGACTTCCACTCCAAAAGAAGGTCGGTGACCAATTTGTTCTACTCTATTGTCACCACATGGGACAACATAACATTATTAGTAATTAGTTTGTGTACCATTGGGCTTCTACTAGTTGTGCAGTTTCTTAGTGGCTTTGAGTCATTCTGTCTTCTGCATTAAATTCACCGAAAGAAGTGTCTATTTTACTCTCCTCAATATGTGGTAATTTATTGTGTTGCTGGATCGAAAACAATCATTTTATTTCCCAAGTGTTATCCGCTGTAGAATAGAATCCATGCACCTTTTACTTACTCCTTACGGTAATAATAGGTCTAGTGTGTACAATAAGACTAATAAGTAAAAATATCAAACTTACTGTCATTAAGTCAAATAACAGCATTGGTACTTGTAGGTAGCCCAAAACTGCGATGAAGGTGATAGCAGCCGCAGTACCCGCAGCTACTTTATGTTCTTTTTTCCAATTACCAAACTTCAAACTTTTCACGAATTCCAGTGGACGTCCTGACGATTCCGATCGTCTGGAAAATAAATAATATTCCTTACACGAGCACCTAGGCTACTACTACGGCACTATAGGCTATTATTTTATATTTGTTGACGTTTCAAAAGTACCAAATTATGATTTAACTGAAATAAATCCGTTTGAGCTTTCATATAAGTTTTGTTATGATAATTTTTATTACTGGAGCAGGTTTAGAAATGTTTGAGTAAAAAAGAACTAACACATTTTTCTACGTGGAAACGTAGAAGCATTGCAGCCGAGTCTGAAATCTATGTCAGACTACAATGTTGCAGGTCTGGAGTGTGACACAGTGAGCACAACATATAACACTGTTTTCGCATCCGGGATTTGCACCCAACACCTGCGCAGCCGGCGGGCGAACGAGTCTAACATGCCAACAGAAAAGCGCGCGACGCCGTCAATGATACCTCAGATAGAGGAAAGTGCGCGTGAATCCCGGCAGAGGGCGCACTGGGCCCGCATTGCAGACTTGAGTAGCCAGTAGCAGCGCAACAGTTGACGCGTCGCGGGTCGCGGAATGCTGCTCAGGGACATGAGCCTCTAGCATTGCTTCAAACTAGTCGAGTCCCTTGTCAAATAATTGCGAGAGTAAACCGAAAAACATAATAATTAATTTAGTATGTCTCACGAAAGTTATAATAGAAATACAGATATACCCACGTTGGCTCCGGTAATGGTGCTGGCGGCTCCCTTCCAAGTCCCACCGGCATCAACACTGCTCTATCCCTCGGCAACAAAGTCAGTTCTAAGTCTATCGATCCCTGAATATGAAAAAGCAGTATTTTATATAACATAGGTACAACAAAAAATAAACATAACTAAAGTCATTGATTTGTTACTTTTACAAGCAGGCAAACTAAAGTAATTCCTATACTGTGTTGTGACAGCAGATAAGAAGAGATTGTCACCGCTCCTTGTTTACCCGTGGGTGTCGCAAGAGATGACTAAATGACTATACATTTGACAGAGATCTACATACTTGAACTGTCATCTCCGCCTGACACGCGTGAACATTATGGAAACCTCTTGTATGAAAATTACGGCTATAGGACTATACTGGCACTGCTGGACAGCAGTGGCTGTTGCTGACATATGATGTAAATTTCAAAATATTATTTACGTTTACAAAATGCGCACATCTACTTTCTATCATTGCACCGCTCGCTATTGATAGTGAGTTCACGCTCAGACGTTAGTGCCTAAATGGTCTCGTATAGTTCGGTTTCAGATGAATTTCCTCCCACGGACCCTCCGATTGGGGGAACGAACTCTGGTGAGATTTTACTAGAGGGCTACAATAAGGGGTTATATAAACGGGGCAGGGAATAAATAGGTATTTTAAGTGTCGACAAGGCGCATGTAATGCCCCAATTACTGACTTACAGCGGCTATAGTCATGCCAGTGTTACGATTGGTATACACTAGAGGCCACCATCCTCGGACTGTTGTGGCCGTAAACAAATTAATCTTTTTATTTTTGTCCCATTCCTCCATTATGCACTTGTTAGGTTGCTTCATGCCCTTCGACATTGAGTTCAAATTGAAGGATACTGATGCTGAAATATAAAAAGCCTGCTCTTGAAACTGTCCAATTATCATAAGCTTACAGAAATATGGCTTTAACACTAACTGTACAGCCTAAATTGATTGTTTTAATTAAAACATTGCTCCACAAACATAGAAATGCACATACACATCACATCCAGACCAGGAACAACAATCTGTGGATCACACAAAGAGTTATTCCGTGCGGGAATCGAACCCGCGACACGTTGCGCAGCAGCCAGTTTCCCAGCCACCACATCAACCGTGCAATCGATATTTGTATTGTACCTAATCATATAAAAATGTCTTTTTTGTAAAGTTTTAAAACGTACCCAAGAAATCGTCTTGTGATAAAGCGTCACTGTCTAAAACTTGTACTACAAATATTGGTGTCATGTGCTCCTCTACTTCTGTAAACGGCCCCTTCTCTTTCCTCACCAACTGCAATACACAACATACAAGTAATTAAACACTTGCACTTCATAAAGTGAATGAAAGTGGAAAATAACTAAGTGCATTGCAGCTGAACAGTTAACTGCAAATTTTTAAGACGCTTATCGTGAACTGACACTCTGTCTAGACATTATAGCGTAGTATCAAAGCGTTCAAACTTCCAATCCAAATAGAAGTTAAATCATTTTGCGCGCGAAACTTTACTAATCAGTCACATTTGCCAGATAACAGCGTCAACATGACGGTGCTGCCGATAACACAGATTAAACTAGTACCGTTCATTTATTCGAATTTCGTAATCTAACACTACCATAAAAATAGTGAGTACCATACCATAAATCAGGTTTTCTATTATAACTATTTTAGGGAGTTACTACTTTGGGGTCCACCAATGCGGCGGAAAGTAAATAATATTTAAAATATTAAATAAACTGTTTAATTAAAATATATTACAATGGAAAGACATTTTTGCATTGGAAAAACTATTAAGAAAACAAAAGAAGGTTTGACAGATTCTATTGGAAGAAGAAAATGCTAAAGAAAAGAGGTGAGCTAACTAATAGTAAAAAGTATGAATATGAGGAAGGTATAGAATAATGAAATGATAAATAATGAAACGTAGGTGAGCAGCCTACACTATCTTTAATATTTGAAATTAATTATATTACAAGTCAACTCTTTGATAAGATTGCGTGGCCGGTTCAGTTAGTGCACTATTGTCGGAATACTCAAACGCTACTCAATTTTAAGTCGCGCTTAACTATAGTTCTGTCTCTACAAATTCTTTGTAAAATGACAGAGATGGCAAGATATTTAAGCACAACTTAAAATTGAGTAACGTTTCAGTATTCCGGAATATATCACTTAAAGTGGGTATATTGTCCATGATTAAACTATAAGCCTGTCTCGAAACTAGCCGAGAAACCTCGTAGAATAGTGATGTAAGTAAGCCCTATTAAATCGTTTAAGTAGGTACCTTTTTCTCCGCGTGGTGATACTGGAAATGAAATATCATACGCCAGTTGAAACTTCCTTCTCCTGATGAACTGCTGTAGTGAACATCAGTGTACTGAGCCTGTTCTATGGTATCTATCCAGCTGAAAACAAAAACAGACATAAATCACTAGCTATCCTTTAGATTCTATTAAATATTTTCTGCAACAGTAGAGTTAATAGACATTACATATAATTTTAACAACATGGGTGTGTATTGGAATTCAAAACAAAAACACATGGTTATTATATTAAAACTTTCGTTAGACATACTGAATTAATTATTATGTTTTCGGCCTCTAGCATGGCTTGAAACTAGTCGCGTACCTCGTCAAACAGTAACGTGAGTAAGCCAAAACATAACTTATTAAAACAAATGGGTCGAATAAATTCGTATACTTTCAACCACCAACATGCATTTAACACCGAAAAAGGAGAAAAACAAGACGGTTAAATCAGTGAGACTGCCATCCAAATATTCAAACGCCACCCAATTCTACGACGCGCTTAAGTATAGTTCTGTCACTACAAATTTTTAAAGTTGAGTAGCCTATCAGAATTTGGACCTGAACCTACACCTGGTGGCGTATTATGACGTCTTAAAGCCAGAGTAGTTCCGCTGAGGGAACGAGGTCTCGCTAGACGACTTGTATAGCTGTTTCTTTCCCTTAAGGGAACCATTCTGACTTTAGGATGTCATAATAACCCCGCTGGTGCGGACTCTGCACCAATGTAATGTTGAAAAAACAGAGAATTACATCTACAATTATCACACAGTATACTAACGCTCTAACGTAGATATCCGATACTTTTTTCCCGTGATCATCCAGCCTAAGTCCCTGCACGTCCCATATAATGACGCGAAGTTCATACTCCTCCAGTTTACGAGGAGTGATGTCCACACCCGGTGGTATATACATGTCCGCGTCTAGAGGAAAAATGTCAACCCACATTTGCAGTTTACCCTGAAAGTTGAGAAGATTACAGCGATAAATTATTATTGCTATAAAAACACGTGGACTGACAGTCAGTCACTGACTGTCCGACATTTACTGAACTAGACATTGCTCAATGCACCTTGATTCGAGTTTCATTATTATGTTTGTGAAACAAATATCAGTATAATTTTGTCCAATTGAGATTTGTCATAATCACTATTTTATTGAGAAATTTGTTAAAATTCTAAGGATATTTGGACACCGCTGACAAACGGTAAAAGTAAACATCTTGAGGAAACCTGGGCTATAAGCTCAATTTCCAATTATAAGTTTGAAATTGCCAACCCACATTGATCAAGCGTGTTGCATGATGCTCAAACCTTCTCCGTGCGAGAAGAGGCCTTTTAAAGTCAAAAGTCAAAGCATTTATTACAATTAAACCATAATTTGGTACTTTTGAAACATCAACAAATACAAAATAAATAATAGTCTGTCAGTCAGTCCGTCAGTGAAGCTAGGCGAAGTTAGGTGCTTTGGGTCAGTAGTAGTAGCCGATTTTGGAAAACCAACGTGGTTTGAGGACTACCAACTGGTTAAAAAAATATAGGTGCCGATGTCCACAGCCCGGCCGATGGTCACAGTTCTAGGCCATAGTAGACCGTAGTAGGTCCATAGTACCTGTTACCTAGTGATTACCTGTTCTAGTCCATTTTTAGCTGAGTTTATCAGAGACCGACATTCCACATGTTCGGGCACTAATCGATATCCACAAATGGGCAGTGTGTGCCAACTGTGCAATAAACTTAGACAAATGTTCTCTCTGCGATCTGATGCTGTTCGAAAGGTTCTCCCTGGAAGAACACGGACATTTTGTAACTTATAAGTAAATTATTGAAATTATTGAAATCAAAGTGGTACACTCATCTTTTTACCGACTTCATTATGGCACCGACTTCTAACTTATCAGTGGTACATGGCTTTCTACTTATTGTGGTGGGTAACCTATCAGTACTTATAATAGTTATTTTTTTCTTTTTAGTATTGATTTTTTGTTTGTTATTAGTATTTGGTTTTTTGAAGTCGGTTTTTTTAAATCACATTTTATATTACTATTATTTTCAGAATAGGATATAATAGAATATCTTATCAGAAAATTTGCAAATGGAAACTTATTTTAGCGCTGCTGCTTAAAAAAATTCATAGCTAGAGTTTATAAATAATAGCATGAAACAGCGATAACCAGTATCTGAAGGCAATGCACTAACCATTATCATTGTCTCTGTACTCTACACCGTTGACGACCACTGTGGCGTTGTCAGGAAAGATCGGAGGAGCCAAATGGTTCTTTGCACAAAGATCTTCAAGTATTACAGAGGGCTTTTGACAGTCTCGCCATTTATTCGGTCCAATCCTGGAACATAGAGAATTTTTAATTAAAATCAATGCATTTGTAAAGATGTACGTAATTACAGGAAGCAGAGCACATAAAAATAATAGTGAATAAGAGAAAACTGACTAGACTGCCTCGTTGGCCAAGTGGTCGCAAGTTCAACTGCCGGGCATGGGGTCTCGGGTTCGATTCCCGGGTCAGGCAAAGTATTACTGGGTTTTTTTTTAAATTCTCATTAGTAGCACGGAGTCTGGAAATGTGCCCGGTATACGGCAATAGGCTCACCCCCTATTACATGGGACTCATAACATAAATAGTACAAATTAGGTGTTACATTGTACAGTGTCATAATGTACACCTCTGCCTACCCCTTCGGGGATAAGAGGAGTGATACTATTATTATTAAAATAAGAGAAAACATGTACTTATTCCACGCAGGTGAACCAACTGATGACCGACTGACTGACCAAGGAAATAAAAAACTTTGTTATAAAGACAATCGATTGGGCACTGTTAAGTATTACATTTCCATATCAGCATAACTACGAAATGAGTATAAACTTACACATTATATTCAGAAGATAAGCCAACCCTAGCGCGGTGTTTGGAGTATATCCTGTCTTCTAAGTCAATGGTAGTAGAACCTATCAGCTCATCTGGTGGTACAGCATCGTAGTCATATAGGGATACAGTCAGCAGGTAGTCATCAGGTAAGGTGCATCGAAATTCATACATTCTGAAATATCGATAATGAAATCGCTTGTTATAATTGGTTAAAGTAACTTATTCACATAATTCTTAATATAGTCAGTAATTCAGATAGACAACGAAAAGGCATCAAAAGCCTGCATTGTAGTGGTAATGGTGCTATTTTTTCAACTTTTCTGCTGTGTCGTGAGTGCGTTTACAAACATATAATATCAACAACACATGACACCCAGACCTGAAAATCAATTTGTGGAACAAAGAGTTGTTCCGTGTGGGACTCGAACCCGCTACACGGTGCGCGGCAGCCCGTTTCCGAGCCACCACGCCAACCGTGCTGTCAATTAATATAATACCTCTAATATTGTTTTATACCTACACCTAATTCGTCAACTTTATAAAAACCACTAGCTTTTACCCGCAGCTCCGCTCGCGTCACAAAAGGATAAAAAGTAGCCTATGTGATATATACCAATACACACAGCGCCATCTATACCATACCAATTCTTATGTTTTCTCTCGGGAATATCAATTTTTTCCGGGATTAAAAGTACCCTATTATTTAATCCGGACTTCGAACTTTAAAAGCAAGCAAAATTTCAAAGCAATCGGTTTAGTAGTTACGGCGTGAAAGCGGAACAAACAAACTCACTTTCCGATTTATAGGTAATATTGGTAAGGATGCTTAGCCAGGAAATCAATGGAGAAAGAGGCACTTACTTTCCAAAAATAGGGTTCAAAGTATTTTTTACATGATTTTTTCTATCTCCTAAATGCTTGCTGCCACAGCTGATGGCTACGTAAGGGTCCAGTTTACCAGAGAACGCTTTTGCTACTAAGTTTACACCTTTGATGACATAAACTCGTACTAGAAACTTTGAGGGCTCGTTATTTGGATAGTCCGTAAAATAACTGAAAAATTAAAATATTGAGATTAGCGTGCATTTTTCAGTATTGATTATTAAAACTGTATTTTTAACGTATTTATTCAGTCCCGTTTCTAAGGTTTTTCTTCGAATATATTTATTTAATTATATGTGTTTTAATTGTTTTTTTAAATGTGATTTTTATTTTTGTGGTTTTTCTTCTTTTTTGTTATTTTAACTGTTTGATTCTATTTGATTTGTCTTTCTGTGTGTTTCAATGAAATTGGTGTAAAGCCGTGTTAACATCACAATAATAATAAATACATAAAATCAGTAACGTTTTTAAGCTCTTACTTCTAAACCGCGCATTTACTTTCATAAGTATTAGCGTTGGGCTAAAATAGCAAACGGATTGAGTCTGTTTGGAAACATTAATAAAAACTAATTTATATCTCACCCGTTGCTTAAATCAACTCCATTGTAACTGACTGCGACTGTCTCGGGGGGTGGTGGCCACCTATAAATGGCGATACCGGCTTTCAAGAATCCGCAGTACAACTGATCATCCTTCTCAGGTATACCCGTCTTTTTGCCGTTGTAAAGCTTTAGGGTTGTACACCAGTCCTTGAACTTGCCAAACTCCGGCTGAGCCTCTAACTCTCCTCCGTACATCTGCAATAGGTTGATCAATAATACATACTATTAACATTAATAAAGTTTCTAAATATCAACAGATTATACTATGGAAAATGTATTATTTCCTGCAATAGCTAAGAATAAGGCGACACATTAATTACCAATTACAGCATATTATTTTGAACTAGTGGGATTTATAACTTACGCCCGAATATTGAAAGGTTTTTCAAATTTTAGGTTGTATCTAAATATCGTGCCATCTCTGTCATTTTATAAGGAACTAGCTTCTGCCCGTGACTTCGTACGCGCAATCCCGTTTTCTCACGTTCCCATAAGATTTTCAGGATTTTTTTTATCATAAGAACCTTCTCCTGTCCACCCATTCTCAAGTTATGGCGTGACAACGGGAAACAGGTTTCATTTTTATATATATAGATTTGTGGTGACAGAACTACTACTACTCGATGGCCTACCGAAATATGATTGGTAGATTGAACAAAAACTGTTGATGCAGTTTTAAACCTGATATATTTTACCATCTTTTTCGATCGTATTTTTTTTAATTTGAATTCAGAATACCATACGCTTAACAAATCAGATATGCACCTTGTTAAAGGCAATTGATTTTTGAATAAAAACATGTTTCATCAAATAAAGGTTTAATTTAATAACCGGTGTTGCCTCCATGAGCATTTACCACAGCTCTCATACGATTAGGCGTAGAGTTTATCAACCGCTCTATGAAATTTTGAGGGATCACCTCCCATTCCTCTTCTATGGCAGTTTTCAACTCCTGCATCGTCTGGGCAACTGGCTGACGAGCCCTAACACGTCTTTTTAGCTCGTCCCACATGTGCTCAATGGGGTTCATGTCTGGGCTTTTGGCTGGCCAGTCCATAATTGTGATGTTCACATCCCGAAGATATTCCCTGACGATGCCGGCCGCATGGGTTCTTGCATTATCATGCATAAAAAGGAAATTTGGGCCCACATAGGCCGCGTAGTCCGCGTATGGTATCATGTGAGGTTCTAAGCACTCACAAATGTACCTTACAGAATTTAATGTTGGCAGCCGTGGTCCTGTAACAACCTCAAGTTGAGTTTTGCCACTCGCGGATATACTACCCCAGACAGTCCATAAGCCACCGCCATAAGCAACCCTCTCTTCAAAGCAGCATTGTGCGAAACGCTCTCCCTTACGTCGGAAGACCTTCTTCCTTCCATCATTGCCATGTAACACAATTTTAGACTCATCAGAAAAGAGTACACGGCTCCAATCTTGCTGTGTCCAATTTAACTGACTGCGTGCGAAATGAAGGCGCGCTGTTCGGTGGGCTCGCGTTAGTTTGAGCCCATTAGCTGGCTTGTGTGGTACCATATCGCGTTCTTTTAACCTTCTCCGAACAGTTCGAGCGCTCACAGATACTCCGTGGAAATCGCGAAGTTGGTTTTGTATCTCAATGGAGGTAAGGTGACGATTTCTCATGCTGGTCGTCACGATGAATCGATCCTGCCTTTCAGTTGTGACCCGAGATCGTGGCCTTCCTTGGCGACGAACAAAGCCGCCAGTTTCTAGGTACCTCCGATAAACATTTCGGACCTCAGATCGACTTAAATAAAGTTGAGCACTCAAGTTTCTTTGGCTGTGTCCGGCCTAATTAAGTGCCACAGCTTGGGCGGCGACTTCAGGTGAAGTATCCATAGTTTATTGATAGAACCTCACCTTAATGTTAAGAATAAGTAATGTTTGTTGCAAAACCAAAGATATCAATCACCTTTTCAAGAATTAAATCCAAGTAAACCAATAAAACCAAGTTTTCTTAGTATTCGATTGTTTGATATCAACAAACAGGCCAAAGAGTATAATAAGTATAGGGGTAAAGAGTTACCACTCGTCAAAATTTATGCCAATCAATTTGAAACGCCATCTGAAAATTGAATCCTAGTATATTTTTTTTTTTACTAATGTCTACAGATAATCCTAAGTATAGCTAATGCCAATACTACCAACAATGCACCTTGCAGGTTGGTACATTGAAGGTAGTATTGGAATTAGCCATGTCTGGTAGCTGCAAAATCAAAGAAGTTATTAATTACAATATTACATTTATTTTACAGTAAATACAAATTAACATTAAAAAATTATCAGCTAGTAGGGAAATATCAGACGACAGATTTGTTCAAAGTATAATTCAAATTTTAGTTCTTTTTAATTTTATGTTTACAAATTTCAGATGTAAATATGTCGTTCAAAATTTATTTGAATTAGTTATTTTTTTAATTATTGATCCCAAAAAGAACTAAAATTAAAAATATTTACTGTTCACCGTTGTTTACACAGTACCTAACAGTAGTTAACAATCTAATGATATAAATTAACCGTAATACCTACACAAATGTAGTACATTTTACCATCGATTTGAATCGCTTACAGTATTTACAAAAACACAAAATTATTATACAATTTACATAACATACATAACATCACGCCTTTTTATCCCCGAAGGGGTAGGCAGAGGTGCACATTTCGGCACTCAATGCCACTGTACAATGTAACACCCACTTTTCACTATTTATGTTATAAGTCCCATGTAATAGGGGGTGAGCCTATTGCCATATACCGGGCACATTTCCAGACTACTCTACTACTACTGAGATTTTTTTAAAACCCAGTAATACTTTGCCCGACCCGGGTATCGAACCCGAGACCCCTTGCCCGGCAGTCGCACTTATTATTATAATGTCGAAAAATATAGTGCTTAAAAATAAGTCTCAGTCTGCCTCTCAGTCAGTCTGTTTTTTAGTACTTTTTTTTGCTAGTTGCTAATAATGCCTGACTTAGTCGTTTCCTATATCTAGTTATATTACAGTCATTTTTACTAAACAACTACAGATTTTTCCTATCCTCAAATATAATATTTTTATAACATTATAATGAAACAAAGTAATATTATTATTATAAATACAAATGAAAATGAAACAGGCAAAATAATGTGGGAAATCCCAATTCAGACAGACTTCACAGTTGCCCACAACAGACCGGACATAATATACACAAACAAAACATCCAACACCACATACCTCTTTGACATAACTGTACCATGTAACTACAACATAGGAGCAAAAGAAATTCAGTAAATACCACTTTTTAAAGACACAACTCAAGGCTAGACGCCTTGAAATATTGAAACGCATGTTAATTCTATAGTAATTGGAGCCACAGGAGTAGGTACTAGCCAAAAGCCTCAGCAGATACACAGACAAACTAGAAACATAAATAGACATTAGCCACCATTCAACAATAATCATTCTTAGCAAAGTACTAGGAGACACAGTTTTCGTCACATACATTCCAGATTCCGATCAATTACAACCATCTCAAGCGCAAACACCACATACCACTCAGTCAACCATCACATGAAGCTCACAATCCACATCTGGCACACAAACTACACCCAGTTAGTAGTCAAGTAGTCAGCAGAAGAGAAAGAAGGAGATTTATAAGTCAAATTTAGGAGGGGCTATGAGCATCGTTTTTCCTGCGGGTTGCGGGAAGCGGTGCCCATTTTCACCAGGTCAAGCCCAAGAAGGAGAGACCTCTACATATATGAATACAAATAAGTAAAACCTAGAATAATGCTGCCAGTCTTTTGGGCACCCTACTCCACGATAGCGATGAAAAAGAATTTTTTGATGCCCTAAGGTAACATTTTTTTTAAGGTGTGAATATGTACCTATTTTAGTTTATTTATAATTTAATATTACTTTGTTGTGCGTAGGTACTTAAAATGTTGTTGTAATTATGATATATACATTAATACAAAGATAAAAATAGTTTTACAAAAATAATACGGCTTTAATATTTGCAGCGATCTATGGGTTTCTTGTTTCTTGAGACAACAATATACGTCTGAATGTTAGAATAATTCCAAATAGTACCTGAAAAAAAAACAAAGATTATTTTTACATGCAGAAATATGTATTTTATTTATTTGTTTTCTTTTATTTATCTAAGGTAGGTGTACCTTACGTGATATTACTGATGTTACAAGAATAATTATAGTATTTACCATCTCTAAAATAGGTTTCAAGCACTGCTGGTATAGATCGGCACTTTATCCGGACATCGTAAGACTCGTAACTGCCGATAAAAAATTGCACTATTGATATTCTGCAATGATGATGCTGAAGTAATATCGATGCAATAGTAATTCCAAATATCACTGTAACAAATATACAAAAGAAAAAGTAGAAATTTATAAAAACTACATAGTTTGGTATCTCAATGAATCAAATAAAATGTATAAATAGGTTCAATAGCAAAAATCATAAACTTGTTGTAGGTTTTACCTTCAGCAACATGATCGTATTCTTCGTATTGATGTTCTTTATTATAAATAAGATATATACGCAAATTAAAGCGTTCCTTTGTAAAATCAAGTCCAATGAATAGACAAACAAACACAATGTACTTTTGTGATTTGTGATACACATGTATACAAAAGGTCCTTTATAGAAAACACAACACGCATCGCAGAACTTCCTTTTTTAGAAAAACAATCACAAAATCCCATCACAAATTATTAAATAATTTAAAATATTTTTGGCAAAAATTTTTACAATTTTGACATTTCAAATTTTTGTTTTTGTTTCTTTTCTTTAAAAGCAAATATTATATGCCAGTATTAAAATAGTACAAACTATATGCATACTATTTTATAGAAATAAGGAGATAATATAAAAAGTATTTAATATCAATATCCAATTATTAACAATATTATTTTAATAGTTATTTATTATCTAAATAATTTGGAAAATTATTATTGTAATGTTTTAATATTTTTTTAGCCCCAGCGTTACCGTAAAAAATAATAATTTGACAATCCATATAGTACAAGAGCCTATGAACCCCAGACCTTTGTTATTTATAACGGACTTTAAAAAAGGAAAAGTTATATACCTATAAGGTTTTTTTATGTTCCTTCAGGGATGACTTCGTCGTTTTTTAACGTATTTTGATGATTCTTTTTTAACCGACTTTAAAAAAGGAGTATCAGTTTGACCTAAATGTATATACATATGTTACAGCCAAAGTGATTAATTTGATATTATTCGTAATGACTAGCTATTATGAATAATATCTTCGAAAACTTGGATAAAGTAAATCAGCAAATGGAAATGAACAGGGCTGACGTCTGCACAAAATTTTGAATTTATCGTCATGGGTGTCGTTTTCATGGTTTTCGAGGGTGATAAAGCCGATGGTCCTGTCAAATTGTAAATCTAAGATGGCGTGCGCACGAAATTTTTCAATTTGTCGTCATGGGTGTCCTTTTCATGGTTTTCGAGGGTGATAAAACCGATGGTGTCGTCAAATTGTAAATCAAAGATGGCGTCTGCACAAAATTTTGAATATATCGTCATGGGTGTCGTTGTCATGGTTTTCGAGGGTGATAAAGCCGATGGTGTTGTCAAAATGTAAATCCAAGATGGCGTCTGCACAAAATTTTGAATTTATCGTCATGGGTGTCGTTTTCATGGTTTTCGAGGGTGGTAAAACCGATGGTGCTGTCAAAATGCAAATCCAAGATGGCGGCTGCACGATATTTTCAATTTATCGTTATAGGTGTCGTTTTCATGGTTCTCGAGGGTGGTGAAAATGATGGTGCTGTCAAATTGTAAATCAGAGATGATGACTGAACGAAATAGAGTTAATGCATTTATCGAGAAAGATTAAGTATGTGTGTGAATGTGTGTGTGTGTGTGATAGAGAGACAGAAAGAATGCGTGCAACCTATTTTATAGATTTTTTATGAAAATTGAGTATTTTCATATAATATTAGTTTTTATATAATAAAAACGGTGGCCTATACCTGAGGTTCACAGGCTCTTAGGTTAATGCTTTTGGATGCAGAAACCTGACGCAGTCACTTCATAGAGTTTAGTTTGGCATCCATCTCTTAATATCTTTTTAATCTCTATTATTAGTAAAGAGGCTGTCATCTTTGATCGATTATGCCAGCATAACTGTCATTTGATCTAAGTTTAAGGAATTATTTTGTAAAAATTGCAATATAGTATTAAATAAATGTGTATAATGTTATTTTACTATTTCCAAAAAATATTATTTTAAGCCTAAATTTTAAAATAATGTTGCAACCTTGCTTGGAACTGTGTGGCCACTGAAAATATTAGTTTTGACAACATTTAATTTCAGGTTCGAAAACTAGATGTAGTTGACGGTCCGATTTTTTAAGCTGTCAATGGCTCTAAGTGTGACGGCCCTGAAACAGGCTCCAAATTGTCTTTTGTTTCTTTAAATTCTGTGTTCGAAATTTAAAAAAACACTATTGAATGAAATTGTGAATGTGCCAGGTTCAAAACTTCATAAAAACTTTTTGCTCTACCTAATATAAAATTTTAGCTAGGACAAAACGAAACTGAAAATACAAGGTGGGTCAATAGATGTGTCCAGAAGTGTTTAAAATTGAGAGTCTTTTGAGCATTTCAGCTTTAGAGCAACCACAAGAATAATGTGCGAAGTACGAGAAATATACAAAACTAACAAAGATATTACTTACAACAATTTTATCAGTTGTTTGTGTGTCATCCATATTGTCCTGGAATATAATAAGACTACAATTACTAGTATGAAAGGAGAATGCACAAAAATTTCTGGAGTAAAAACACAGAATCAATTAAACAAATATATGTGTGACAAGGTACTCTAAATTCAGTAATTGTTTTCAATTAATCGCATTGTACGATCTTTTTGCAGATTCAAAGCAGTATACTGGTCAAAGAATACTGGTCAAAGAATCAAATTATTACTTGGGTCTTGTTCCAGTCAACACAAACAAGTCCAAAATGGTAAGTATAATTTTCATCGTTTGAACATTACGATGCCATCATCAAGCATACAGAATTTAATTTTGAATACTGCACAGTTCAACTAAGAAGTAGACCAAATGGAATTAGTGTAATATTACCAACGGGCAACATACTATATTGACATTTCGAGTAAAATAAAAATTCATATCTTTACAATAAAACCTACCTCCATCGTAGCGTAATATCTCATCCACCAATCCTTATGCTCAGGACTTTCAGAAGAAATATTCTTTAGTAATTTCGACTGGTTATTTTCTTTCGAAAACATTGGCAGGAGAACGTATTCTTCTTCGTCTACTTCTTTGCTACAAAATACTCGTTTCCATCGAGATCTCTTTGTTTCGTGGATACTTTGCAATGACAACTTACTGCCCAAATCCACAGACGAAGGTAAAGAATTTTTCTTTATGTAAAGTATTTGACTTACTGAAAATGTTGGAGAAAATTGCGTTTAGCACAAATGTCTACTTATTATTATAATATGGTTTATGAGCGACATACATAAATAATAACCTCTGGAAAGAAGGTTCACCGAAAACAATGGCGTAAATAAACAGTTTTCTAGGTGTGCTACTGCTTTTTATATTTTAAACGGTTTTTTTAATTATTTAGGTATTTAATCAAATATTAAAAATATACTAATCACGTAAAGAAAATAAATAAAGATATAACAATAGAAAGTAAAAAATACCTTGAAAAAAACTAGAAGCTGTTATAGACACACTTTTCAACGACGCATCTCTTTCACCTTGGGGTAGCCAGGTTACTATGTACTTATTTGGATTTTTTACAATATTAGTCCCTAAGAATAATGTTCTCCCGAAGGTACTACTGTCATATAATCTAATGCTCAATGGTGGACAGTACACCTCGTTCAAAGGAGCTTGAAAAGTCTGTGAGGACCGTCCATTGGGAAAATTGCAGTTGGACTTCTTGTCACACACAACATCAGACTTTATCGTCAGTTCATCTATTTCAAGAACAACACACGGTTTCCTTGTAGTTGTGACGTCACGTAAGCCCCACCAATAGATGTCTACTCTGAAATGTAAGAAAATATGTGTTAATTTTTATGAGTTGCACCATCAATTACCAAAATCTATCAAGTACACCTAATAATTCTTATGAATTGTTCGTAAATGAAGGAAAGCTACCTCTACAGCTACAGTTCTCTCTAAGAATGTTGGAACACTCTAACAAGAGAAAAAAAGGGACAATTGACTTTTACACTAGATTCCGTTACAGTATACTCCTGGAATACCTCCTCCACATATGAGCATATTCATATCATATTTCCAATGCTTACAAGTGGGTCGGAGATTATAGTTCAAATGGTTCAAGTTTATCTGAGACTACTTCTGCCCAGTCACCGTTAAATGTGCAGTTCCTAACTCAACTGTTGTGATTACAAATGTATTTTATACTGTCGTCACTAATGGTTACTGTGTTAAAAAATATTAAAACTGTACAATCACTTGTATGTGGTAGCCTTAGGAATCAGATTAGGTGGTAAGGGTTCTGGTTCATCACTCTCTGTTTCTGGTATCTTGACTGCAGTAGCCACATATGTTTCTTCAACTGGACTATACACTGTATTTTTCATTAATGTTTCTGGGATCTTTAAAAAATAATATTTTAGGAAAGAAGGTTAAATGTTAAGACATGATAACTGTATGATAACTAAGTTTACTTTTATAGTCTTTAGTGTTTTCATTGTCGTTAACAATTTGGTGGGTAGAAATATAATTGTTAACGCTTTAATTTCCCTTTTTCTATACAGCTTATGTAGCTGTCCAATTAGTGGTCTGAATGACTGACCAATATCCATAGAATCGCTGATGTGAAGTTACGTGTCTATTACTAAATGTTATACCTGGCAAAGCTGCACCGACATCAGGATTTGGCCGCTGTACTCCGCTCCCTTAAAGAGATCATACCACTGCAATTTGGGAGCATACAGGTAGTCTTGCCTTTCATCCACCACAGGCTGAACTTGTAACCGCCCTATTAGTTCACTTTTACCCTGAAAGTGATAACAATGACAATTATATATATTCAAACGCCACTCAATCTAAAAACGCGCTTAAGTATGGTTCTGTCACTACAAATTCTTTGTAAAATGATACAGATGCACGATATTAAAGTACAATTTAAAATTGAGTAGCCTTTCAGTATTCGGGCGATAGTGTATTTTCTCTTGAGTTGGTAAGAATAGTGATCATTGAAATGTTCAGGTTTACCAGAGTGCACTGCTGCTCGGTATCTATCAAACATAGTTCCTTACTGATTCTTCTATTCTTTAATGTATGCTTAGTGAAAATGAAAATCGTGCAATTTTTCTAAGTAGACGTCATCAAAAAAGCAGTTCAAGACACGAAGATCGAACAATGTCTAGTCATGTGACAAATAACTGACATAGGCTAATAGGCGAAAAAATTGCTTTGAAGATTAGATAAAACAATATGGCAATTTTCATTTACTTTAAAACTGAATTTTAAGAGATGCTTTTTTCGGAGCATATTAATAGGGACTGCACTCACCAACTGATCGCTGTCAAGTACCTCAACCATCACTAATGGCGGACTGTTTTGTATTCTATCGTGGGTTGCAGATACAAGCTTATGTATCTTCAACACTTGATTCCAAATTGGCGTAAGAGTCTTCTGCTGGACCTGGAATTATACCGTTATTCTAATTAGGTTCTGTTGGCTGCCATGATGGTGAATGTTACCTGTCCAAAATACATAACTTATTGTTAAGACTATTGTCAACATTTAGGGCAATTATACTCATGAAGACTCAAGTGGAGCTCTCACAATCAATTTTTAAAGCTAATAAAGATAAGTTTTAAGTTAATAGTATCAGATTAGGTTTTACATTTCTTTTACGCATTATGTACAGATTTAAAGATGCATATATAAAGTTATGGTTCTCATAACAGTGATGGTGAAAGGTAATTTAATATAAGATGAGATACGAAAGGCTTACCTTAGTTTCTTTAACGGAATTTAAAGTATTTATCCTAACAAAGGGGTGTGCATGGTTATTTCTATCTACACTTGTATTCAATTTTGCTCTATATACGAAAACACGGCATTCCAGCATCTGAAATGTGAGAAGGATATTTGGTTAATACACCTTTTAATTTTTTTAACTGGTTTATTTTTTTTCTATTGTTTTTGGCCGTTTAGAACAGAAAATTTGTTTTTGAATGTTTGTGAAACTATAAAACTAGCGACTTGTATGTGAAACTATCAAATTAACGGCTTATTTTTTTTTTATAACAAACTAATAAAACTAACTTAATTTATAGGTTCACATTAAGGCTTTAACACTTACCATTGTGGAAGTTTTGAGGCACATATCAAAGTCTTTAACTTTTAGCTTGTAGCCTTTCGGTAGGCAGCCCTCGAATGCATGGATTTGTCGGTACAAGCCCATCCATAAGATGAGTTCCACCTTGCCAGCGATGCAGCAACACCCCGTAGCCATCGTGTTCATATGCTTCGGACATTTTAATGGCTGGAAAATTAAAAACGAATTATGTTGAAAATGCCAATAAAATCAGGCATCGTTTTGATGTTATGATGAATATAACTAATATTATAAATAGTTATTAAAAGTATATTGTTTTATTTAATAGTTTAGTTGTAGTTAATTTTAAGTTGTAAATATTTATGTAGTTATAAACAATGTAATAAATTTTCGCAATAAATTATACTACTACTGTAAAAAAAAAGTTAGCAAATAAAGATATTATAAATGCGAAAGTTTGTGTTAGTGATTTTTTTAACTATATAGGTCGACGTTTGGCCACCATCTCGCCTGGTGGTAAGCGATGATGTGGCCGACGATGGAACACGCCTACCTATGAGCAACCTGCTCACTCGGGACTAATACAATTACTTAAACGAAACATAATGCATATTTCAGCTTACGAGACAGCGCTTCCGTCACGGTATAATGACACTGGGACCTCCGGGCGCCGGTAAGACAACCTGCATACAGACTCCTAAGTCATATTTGACCGGAAACACAGACTCCGGCAAGGAATTCCATTCCTTCGTGATTCGCATGAGAAAGCTTGACGCGAAAAGCTTCGTGCGAATGGGTAGAATGTCCACCATATAAGAGTGGCGCCCCGCCGTTCGTCTGATGGTACGGTGGTGAAATGGACTAGGGGGAACTAAATAATAAAATAATAGTGTGTTTGTCTGTATGTTTGTTTTTGTCATGTCAAAACAACTGAAATTTGGAACAGGGAAGATTACAGTCAGAAATAACAGAGAGGATACTTCTTACCGGGCGAAGCCGCTAGCAGAAGCTAATTATAAATAAGATCAAACAAAAGTTGGTAAAGCATAAGACCAAATTGAAAGGAAACCATTTTTAATTTTTCAGCGCCCTTTGCTTCGTTTATCAACGAGCTTGTTGGAATGAATGCGATGGAAGAAAATATACCACCCAGCAAAAATACTTACTTAGCAACAATAAATATCGTGAAAAAATCATTTAATTAATTTAATGGACTTGAGTTGTCTTAGTGCGTTCTCATGGGCGTGAAATAAAGTTCGACACATGAATTACTGTAAAACTGCATATTTGGATTAAACTTTAAACTAAATATAAACAAAGGTGCACAATATATAATGGAATAAAACTCAAATATTTCGCGGTAGAAATACGGAGCGCGTGCGTCACGGCTCCGGCGCGGGACTCGTTGTTATGTGTCGCTTCCACGCAAGCGTCGAACGGGTAGTGGTGGGGAAGCGGGGGAAGAGGAATAGTGAAGTGGCGTGTTGCCACTAGAGATGCACGCGTGCGTCCGACACAAACCAAAGTCGAATTGCCGCGTTACAATAATTATTTTATAAACTACGGTTAAAAAACGTCTACAATCCCCTCTATTTTTCGGGGTAATTAATATACTAAATCCTTCTCTCCTAAGTGTAACAAACACTTTTCGGAAAACCGCATTAAAACCAGTCCAGCCGATTGCGAGATAATCGCGCACAAACATATAGTAGATACATAGAGGTTAAACGGAGAATCTCCTTTTTGAAGTCGGTTAAAAAAACTGCCCAAACGCTGACCCTCTGACCAAAAAAATAATAATACGCTTCTTTATCTTTATTAATATTTTTTATTTTCTTTATTTATGAACTACAAGGCATTTGAAACCATAATTTAAACAGAATAAAGTGAAAAACTTCATGTTATCGAATTGCAGAATGCAACTGTTGAATATCAAAAGCATGTAATTGCTGTGGGGTTTATAAAACTTGCATCTGTTTAATTTATACAAAGGGTTATAGCCTTGAAAACTTTAGATTTTTTTGTTCGTACCAACCTACATACATCTGCCTGTCCCCGTTGGTCGCGAAATTGATTGGACAAATTGGCATGTGCAATTGTGCATACTTGCTTAACAATTGCTTAATAATTCAATACCGGTTGAAAAAAATACTGAAATCCCTTGTAATTTATTCTGCAACCAGCAATCGTACTTTTTAACACTGTCACAATTTCCCATCTTAACGGTAAATGAAAATTATTAGGGTTTAGATTTTCAATAACTTTGTGTCCAGAAACTTGACAAAAAGTTATCTCATTTAAGAATATTCACAACAATTATTCCCATTAATAAAATGACCCTTAACTTTATTGCAATAAAGTAGTGTTGACTACATAATAACGCAACTAATAAATTGTACTTGAATATAACCCTAACAACAAAACAAAACTTATTAAAGATTACGATGAAACTAATTAACAACGTAAAAAAATCTATCACAGACGTCGTTTGTCTTAACTTTATAAGAACCTAAGTAACATCAATCACTTAACTATTGCACTTTGAACTTAATAGTATTCGAAATAAAGTACTAACAATACTGATTTATAACATATCACTTAACTATAACACTTTGAGCTTCAACATTAAAGAAATAAAGTATTAAATATATTGAATTTACCCTTAATTGAGGACACGTGTAACACTCAACAGACTTGGTTTCTACTGACGCAGACCGGCAGGGGGAGACGTCTGTTTGATCTGGTTGAAGGCTACCCTACTCCTATTACCTTTTATTTTTATAACATGATTTACGTATGTTATTATTTCCTATCTTTATTATAAAAATAAATCGCTAAATGTGTTGCTAAGGGCAAATCTTGAGAATAGGTGAACCGATTTTGTTAATTCTTGTTTTTGTTGGGGGTGTTGCTTTTTGGAGAACGTTCTTATTTATGTACCTAAGAAAAAAATAACAAAAATTCGCAGAAAATGTTACACCGTGAAATAAAATTTGCAAGGCCCACTAGTTTATATTAAAAAAAGATTAGTACTCGATTCTTTATTAAATCAAGTTATCAATTGATATGAAGCAAATTTTGTTATGTAATAGATGATTTGGAAAAATAAACTGCATTACGATATCGATACCGAATTCTAAGAATGGGGCTTATATTCAGTAATGGTTTTAGTTATTTTTTCTATACCTTAGTAGATGTGTTGTTGTAATTTATGTCTATTAGATAATTGTAATCATGTTCTTGTAATACAAAGTTTATTTTTAACATTTTTCTCCCCTTACAAGGGGAGAAAATCGATTCAGCCCTCATCATTTCAAAGAAATAATTTTCTATTTTTATTCGAGTAGAACTTAATCGGTATTATAATTATGTAACGCGTTTTCTTGTGAATTGGGAAAAGTATTGGGTAAGTCTTTTTATAAAGGATGTAAATATATTAACCAACTATTTTTACTCTTAAAAATTAAAAGCGCTTTTGTTCAACGAGCACGCATTAACCAACGGATAAATTATACAAGATCCAGTAAATAGTGAACCATGTGTGAGGGGAAATAGCTGAAAGCAATACTTACATAAAAACCCAATATATTTTAAGGTCAATCTATGATTTCAAAATTGTTTTAACATTTTCGCGAATATCGAATGTTGATACACATTTTTTAGCATAATATGTCAGTGAAAAATCTTTATTTAGTAAGTTTAGTCAACTCGCTTGCCAAAGGTGACGATTATGATAATCAACTTTGAAACAAATATAGAAGATCCAACAGTCAAACTATTTATGTATAGTTTTGTTGGACCTGGCGTTAGATTGTAAGGTATATTATGTACTTTTTATTATTAAATAAACTAGCAAACCCGGCGAACTCCGTTTCGCCACCAGATGGCTTCGTTTTATATAACATTTCATTTGGTGATTAAAAGTGAATTTTTTTTGCTATGAGCCTCATGAAGCCCGAAACCTTTCCAAGGAATGCAAAACCGTGGAAATCTGTTCGTGTGTTCTGGAGTTATAGCGTCAGGAAGGAAAACCCGAGTTATTTTTATATAGTAGATAAATAATGACGTCCATAATCAATTAGTAAAATCTTAGGGTCTGACGATGATGATTGTATTTAAATAAATAACAACAAACCCTCAAGTAAATGTTTTGTATCCGTCCACAATGGCTGCCATTCTGTTCAGGGATCACAGAGTATACTATATCAGCTATTGACATCTTATAGAAGGCTACTCTTGATCCGCCGTTAAGAAGCCACACTACTATATCAGGCCACCCTTCTGACGTCTGAAATAAAGATTATTATTCTTAATTTTCAAAATAATTTCAAATTTATTATTATTATATATATACAAACAATATATTCAAAATTATTACAACTTATATATTCTGCACGAACTTTCTTTGTGCAGCAGCTTCTCCCATGATTTGTTTATTAAATAAAAGTTCATAATATTGACGACCAGCTCAACGTTCGCATTTAATATTAAAACTACCTATAGACTTGTGTAAATCCAATAAGGTCAAAGTACCTATGACCTTCCCAGGCAAAACATGTATAAGAATATCGATCACTTTACCTTGTAAATTAAACCTTTCAGATTCTCAGCAATTTGTCTAACATCCGCCAACATAAACTTGACGTCTCTCTTTGTGCTATTGATAGAATCCGTCCTAGACAGGCTTTGTATGAAGCTCAATGAAGAACCCCTCTGTGTTCTTTTAGTTATTTGCTGGTAGATTTTTTCCTGAATTATAAAATAAATCGATATTTTATCCCAACGTATAGACTTTACTAGTTATATTACATTTGTTGGGCTTTAGTTAGTTTACACGCGCAGTTGGTTTGCATACACGCGCAGTAGAGGCGCGCGAGGCGAATCTCATAAGCGCGTATACGCGCGTCATCTCCGCTTTGCGGGCGGATATAAAAACGCCGTGTGCTATTGGCATAAGCGACTGTTTCACTACCTTCATTAAAAAGTACCCGAGAAACTTAAGTGACAGGTAGTTCATACAAACTTACATATTAATTTTAATTAATCTGGTACACAGCGGTTATAATATGGTTATGCTGATGATGAGTATGATGAATAAAATTGAGTATATTCAGTAAACTCACAATTTCTTCCTTCTGCAAAGCCAGCTGCTTATTATCTAGTTCAGTGCTGTACTTCATCATAGTGTTATCGGTACTACTACCAGGGCCGGAGTACTGTATAATGTCCAGAAACTTCAGGATATTGCCAGCAGCATCATCTACCGCCTTACTGAGATCCTCAGTTAGCTCTCTTAACGAATCAAACTCAGAGTTTTTGAGACGACGCTCCACTTCTGTTAGTGCTTGTTCCTGTAAAGAATATGTATCGTGTGACATGAGTGAGGATTATGGCAAACCATCTCCAAAGGTACTGTTTCACATACTTATTTCCAGCATCAAAGCATGCTTCAATTGAGTACTTGGCACTTAGTAGCACGTTGCCCAAAATTAGCATGCTCATTTAAAACATGTTGACGGAACAACACGCGTTCGATTTTTGAACATTTTAGAGCATACTCAATAGAACGCCTTTTGGCATGTTATTTTAGAGCACAATACCATTTTCTACTCAGTGGAAGAATTCTAATTGATGATGATTAAGTAAACTGTAGTACCAAATAACGCAAAATAATATTGTTATTTTTGCTGGATAATTGACATCCTAACGCCATTATGAAGAGCAAAATGAAAAATAGTAGTCCAATTAAAATGCAAGTGTATACTAAAAAATTAAAATTATTTTAATGTAACTCTCAGTTCGACACAGAAAATGAAATCTTCAAATACAAAAATTTGTCAGAAGTGGGATTCGAACCCACGCCCACAGAAGTGGACTGCGACCTGAACGCAGCGCCTTAGACCGCTCGGCCATCCTGACTTAAACATTTAGGTGAAATGTGGTTTCAAGATCCAAAAACACTTAATTTACAATAATTTTAGGTGAAGACAAAAGCTATGAAAATTAGACATTTTAAGTGTACGAACGCGTTTACTACGAACCAACTAGATCAACATTCCATTTATTTTTCTTTAGTTCAATATTTGTAGAATTTAATTACAGCTCTTTTTATAATCTTTAATCTTTGTAAGTATATTTTAATTTTAGTTAGCGGCTCGTGCCAGCAAGCATCGGATGGTAATTGTCGAGTTTGCTAATCAACTTTCCAAGTATTCCTTCATACTGACCTTATCCATAAAAAACAAACTTAATAAAAACATAACAGAGAAATAGATACACGATTCCCATGGCCATCGCATCGCATAGGGAATGAAGAATATTATGATTATTATGTTTATGTCAAATAGGAAAATCTTACCAAATCAGTAACGATGCCGTGAACCATATTGTTTCTGTACATCCTAAATCTGAAGTCTGGTAATCTCATGGCCAGCTGAAGAACGGGGAACGTGTTCTCGAAGTCAAGGTAGCCATGTACTGGACGAGTTTTCAACACATCCATTGAACCAGTGTAGTATAGTTTCCGTTGTTCTAAGGAATAATTACAGAATTGAAAATAAAAAAGTTATACAGTTTAGCTGAACTAAAGATATCAAAAATTTCATCTTCTCATACTTACTTATCTCAGACATCATAGCAACAAACTCTGGAACAAGAAAAAAATATCGAACTTAATGTAACTGATTGAATTTATAATAACGTAGATTTAACGATTAGATTTAACGTATTATCTACATTTTGTCTATTACTTTCACGTACATTTTTAAAAACATTTTGAATTTTTAATCAAAGTCGGGTACAACCGTTCTCGAGTGTTAGCAAGAGCAATGAACCATTCATAAATTAGCATGATCCTTTACTTTCTATGCTACGCACTATAAAAAGACATGTTTTTTATTTGCATGTAATGTCGACGTTTGGCCACTATCTCACCTAATGGTAAGCAATGATGTGGTGGCGATTTTCCTGAACAGATACCACCTTTCAAACCTCGAAGAAACAAGTGCACTCTTTAATTTAAAAGTTTGGCAAGGTACGTGCAACTCCACTGATATTGTAGATGTCCTAGTTGGAAGAAACCGCTTAACATCAGGCGATGAACAGCTCATTCACACTATATCCTATAAAAATAATAAAAATACGATAGGCACTTACCCTCATCTCCTTGATCATCGGTAGGTAGCTCTCCTACAGTGATAGCAATGCCACAAAGTTTTCCAGAAACGCGTCGATCCAGCATGGAGACTTCCAGAATCGGGCAGAACATGCAGAAGTCTTCCATGAGCCATAAATTTTCCTAGGAAATAAGGGTCAGTTAGTTTTTATACCTCACCACACTAATCGAATAAAGATCCAAAGAGGTGCCAGGCAGGGAGACACTATCCCGCCCAAACTATTTTACATTACGGTCTTGGAGGATGTATTCAAGAATCTGGGATAATAAAGGCCTATTAATATCAGGTACTCGGCTATCCAATTTTTGATTCGCTGATGATATTATGTTATTCGCTAGTGATCCAGAAGAGCTTCAGATCGTGGTCCATAATGTACACGACGTATCATTAGATGTAGGACTGGAGATGAACCTTTGCCAGACCAATGTCATGACCACGGATAGTGCAAGCACGGCGAGTAGCAGTGTGAAATGTATGCCATTAGAATGAGTCAGCCAATATATTTACCTTGGTCAAGAAGAACTTGGGAAAGAATTCCAGGGAACAGAAACAAGCAGGCGGATCCGTCTAGGATGAGCAGTCTTTGCGACACTGAACTTTGCTTTCAAAATAAACCTCACCAACAGTCAGAAAGCAAGCATTTTAACCAGTGCGTTCTGCCAGTCCCTGCTTACGGAGCCAAGACTTGGGTGACAACAAAAGTCCTTCAGAGACTAACTTGATAAGACTTTGATGCACAACAAGCCTTACGAATAGCTGAGGAAACTAAGCAAGGTATCAGATATAGTCAAACGAACAGCCAAGCTGAAGTGGCAATGGGTGGGACATGTAGCCTGCAAACACAACCCGTGGTGAGGTACCACGGGGTAACAAACGATGGTAGACCGCAGATGAGAGGGAAAAATTACATCAAGGAGGTGGCGGGTAAAATTGAATACTAACAGCCCAAAACATAACTAAGTGGAAAGATTTAATCAATCAAGGCCTACACCAAATTGGTGAAAAAAGGTTGGAGATGATAATGATAAACTTTAGTTTTTGGTTCATTACACTTAACAATTTCCTGTATACTGTTTCGATAATTCTAGTCATAATATCATCATAATGGGCACTAGACTCGTCAACATAGACCTCACCCATTCCAATCATACTTTTTTTAAGGAGCGAAATCATCGAATGACTCCTCCCGTCTGAGTGAGGCGGAAGCGAGTGTCAGACTCTTACTGACTAAAAACCACCCCGTTCCTACACCTGCACTTCGAGCCGGAGCCCCGGTAATCCGTTAGGTTCTCCGCAGCTCCGACAATCATACGGCTAGTGTCACATATGGGTATCAGAGCTAAAGTGAAAACGATTTTTTTCCAGACAAAACCAGTTATTTCCAGGATACCGGCATTTAATAAAATTTCATAGGTTTTTAAATATAGCTTCCTGCTTCTCCAAGTTCCCAGACTTAATTTAAAAAATATTACAACATATTTGCCAATAAAAATGGAATATTACACAAATTATTTAGTTTAGTTATACTCGAAGTAATGATAATTTTGAAAATAACATCTAAAAATTACCCCATCAATCGAAGATCATCGACAAGAAAGTTTTACATAATTTTTGTTTTTTTTTTTTTTAACAATAATTAATCTTCGACGCTTTTAATTATAACGAGATCAATATAAATATTAAATTAGAATGAAAACCAACAAGGAGGTTGGCTAGTTAAGTAAGTGTTGTATGTTTCCACTGGTCAACTGATAGCATGCGCTGCCCTGCCGGAGAGCCTGCTATCAGCCGACTGACGATGTAACACCGAGACAGTGGAGTTTGCATCTCGATCATGCGCACTGCGATGCCACTCATTAACGGTCACTGCAGACGAGACACCGGTAAGCGACTACAAAGGTAAGCTGAAGCATTCACAAGAAACTTTGATAGGAAGAAAGAAAAACACATAAACTATGCACCAGCCCCAGCAAGAAAAGCATACAAAAAATATTTATTACTTATTTTAGTGGATCGGTACAGGCCATAAAAGTTATGTGGTGAATACCATCAGCCTCAAACAAATCCGGCGAGACCAGAATATAATTTGTATAAGGACTATCGAAAACATGTCAGTTTCTTTAAGACGTTTTCTGCCTTGGGTAAGGCGAAAGGCAGTAACAGACTCTTATTGACTAAAAACAATCTTGTTCTTATTCTTGTTGCAAGTCGAAGCCAAGTTAACTCGTTAAGTCTTCCGCGGATATATCAGAAGGATGGCAATTTGAGATTATGCGATGGTCCGTCTACAGCGACCGTACGCAGCCATGCTGCATAAATCATATACAGTATGTTAGGTGTAATCCTTTGATTATACAAAATCAAAGGGTGAACCAAAAAAATTTAACTTTTTTTTACCATACGTGTACTGAGTATATTCCTCGCATATTTTTGCTTTTGCAGAGTGAGATGGATGATCAGGGTGGAGCTAACGCCATAGTTCCTGTTTTGCAATTGTTAGGGCCTGTTCATATCGAATTAAATACTTTAAAAATTTTCTTAACAAGTAGGTACCTACTTGGTATATTTTGACTTCATGGTTGACGCAGTGGCTAAGCAACCAACTGCTGCTGTATAACGGTTCGATTTCCGCACGGAATAATGTTCGTTGTTTCAGATCAAGTGTCAATAACGTAGTGTCTTACGCCCGTAGTCTTACGTACTATCTTATTATATTTTAAGTACAACTTAAAAAAGAGTAACCTATCAGTATTCGGGCGTTAATATGGTCTAACAAATTGGTCTAAAATATTTTTTTGTATGAACACTTGTGTGGAAAGAGCCTTATGTTAATAACGTCGGCCAATAGTAGAATGATGAATATACGCGTAGTGTTCAAATTTTCATGTATGTGTATCGTCGCCGAGTGTAGTTATGTCGCAGGCAGATTATATGATCCGCCGTATGACATATCGGCTAGCCATTTATAAAAGCAGAACTGTTTTGGAATACGGTGACTGAACGATAAGATTAGTTTTATATTAAGTATGAGGTACTATCGCAACGCACGACGAAATTCATATTATATGCCGATTATTTCTACACAAAATAAGCATTATATCCCTGAAAACATGAACATCAAAAATTATTATTTTCAAGTTAAATTGATCTAATTTATTAGCGAAACATGTGTATGTTCTGTGTAGACATACTTGTTTGTTACTAGCGGCGGGAGAGCGTTAGCCATTTCAAACTTAGTTTTGCTGATGAGCTTACATTCGGTTCATACAGAACAAACGTCTACCACCAACGCAAATTCACATATTTAAGGAAACGTGCACAGGACTTACTTGACCGTTATGGACGACGGGAAGGAACTCGAAAACGGGCTTTGTATATGGGCTTTTAATTCCTTAACTTTATTTTCTTTCTTGTAAAATTGATAAAATTCTTTCTTGTAAAATTGATAAAATATGAATATATGAGTCGTAACTGCGGAGTACTAGAATTTACTAGTACTAGAATGCGTTTTATTTACCGGCTGCAAAGGCGATACTGGTTCGACGCTGGTGCTGCGAAGGCCCTGCTGGTAGTAAGGCACAAGCGTCCTCAAAGACACAAGCATCGCTCCTCGGTGATAGGGACCATCATCTCCCGAGGCTGCCAATGTACCAGAGGTCGTAGCTCCATACATGTGAAGAAGAGAAGGCCCGAATGTTGGTAGAAAACCTGTAAAGAGTGTAATGGTTGAATATTTTCCATCAGTAGTTACAGTCAATCTATCTGTCAATCGTTTTTTTTTGTGTTATCTTATTTTAATATTCCATTTTAATAACATAAAAGAAGGAAAAGTCAACTTTTACAAACTAGACATCTTTGAATTGAACAGTCTGTTAGTGAAGTTAAGTGTGCTAATTCCAAAGCGGAAGTTCATGAGGGAATGACGTTTTTATATAAAACATGAACTTTTATTTAACAGTACCGCGTGTATCATCACGCATATATTTAGAAAATTACCATTTTCTCCATCATGTGACACCTGGCCAAGCTTCAAATGAGCGCTGCCCAGCACTCTGTTGAAGCAGCCGTCTCCAGAACACACCTCCAGCCGAATCATCTCACTCATTGTCGGGAACATCTCCACAATGGATATCTGCTCACAATAGACTGGGTGATTGTTACGAGCTTGAACTGCAGTTTTTGCCTAGAAAAAGACAAATTCTATCATGACTGTCTCATAACTCCTAAAATAATAGGTACAGAATTAAATTTTTGCATGGGTGCTATTATACGACCTTTTTCGTTCAAGCTGTTGATTTGACATATACTAGAATATGATAGAAAAACGTTCAAAATTATGACAATAACTAACTAAACTAATGGCCTTATTTACATGATGATAATGACCTCTTACTGCCAATTTCTATAACATATCTTAAACCAAAATCTGTGGATTAAGATCGATTTTTGACAGAAACTCCGTACAACTACTGTCAATAAGTAATCGATCTATATCGACAGATTTTGGATTAAGATAGTTTATTGAAATTGGCAGTTAGTCGTTATTAAAGATACAATAATACTTTACAAATCTTATAATGAAATAATTTTACCGAAAGGCCGCAAAAAGACACCCTGACGAAAGTACTCGGTAATTTTCCAAAACGTCGATCTCCCTGACCATGCGCCCCGTTTGGCAGACCAAACGCTCCGTATACGGTGATGATGTAATTCGCCGGTTGTTGTTCAGCACCAGTCGGTAACAAAAGATTGCTGGGAAATAAAAAGAAAGTCATACCACAAGGTAGTCAACATTACCAATGACATAAGATTCGCCAAAGACTCACTTGAAAGCATGTTCGTCAGTCTTGAAGTCAATTCGTATGAGAGCTAGATTCATTTAATTTATCAGAGGACTAGCAAACTCGGCGAACTCCGTTTCGCCACCAGATGGTTTCGTTTTATGTAATATTTCGTTTGGTGATTAAAACTGAATTGTCTTTGCGATAAACCTCACGGAGCCCGAGACCTTTCGAACGAATGGAAAACCGTAGAAATCGGTTCGTGCGTTCTGGAGTTATTGCCTCACGAAAGAAAACCCGACTTATATTTATATAGTAGAATTGAAAAATTGGAAAAATATTAGCCAAAGTATAGACTTTAAACTTTTCTGGACTAATAATGACTTTAGAATTATAAGTTACACCATTCATTATTCGAAGTAAAAAGAAGACAGCTTAACATTTTGACCATATTGGAAAAAGAAAGGAGTTACTGAATAGCTGGTCCTTGGGGGAGGCCTTTGTTCAGCAATGGAGGTCTTATATGTGGCCGTTGTGATGATAATGACGAATAGCTGTTGTAATTCAACTTACTCTTCTACTCTGTCCTCGTGTACAACAACAGGCATTACTTGAATATCTCCCCGAAAAACGATGGATATATCCACCTTCAGGAAACCCACGGCTCCAGCAGACGGGTTCCGGGGCAAGCTCAGTTGTGCCCATTTATGGAATACTTGATGATCTGTTAAAAAAACAAAAGCATACAAAAGTTATATTTCCACACATACATTACTTATAATATTCTTAAAGTTCGCGTTTTATGCAAGGACATAGAATCAGAAAGATTCATTGATTTTTGTACGTGCATAAAAATCAATGTAGTATTCTTTCCGCAAATTATACGCACTGAGGGCTATAAAACCCGTAGTTAAAGATGCAGCGGAGAAGAAGTACTAATAAATAAGGTAATAGTACAATTAATAAAGGCTATAAAATAAATAATGTAAGTATTATTACAAATTCGTAACACATTACCACGCGTCTGAAACACGCATATTATTTGACAATGTCAAACCGTAGTAAAAAAGTATATGTTTTTGTTAAAAAAGTTTATTATACAATTGAACCAAACTTTTTCAAGTTTTTACTGAGCTACATACAAGGACACAAGGGCATTCATAATAATAGCATAACATACGAAGCTTAAAATATATATACCTATTTTCTTTACAATTTTACTATGCCATTGTCATCATAACTGCGAGTAATGTTATTAAATTACGATATATAAGAAGAAAGAGCGCTGCCAAACTTATTTCCTATATAAAATGCTGGAGAGATTTATTAATATAATACATAGACCATTGCTGCATCCTGCACACAAATGTAATAAACTCACACGATGACAAGGTATTGCACCGATTGCATCATAGAAGCACTCACACAGACGCATAAGCGCCACCCTTATTTTTAGAGGTCTGTCGTGTAAAGCTGTTGATAGCAAAACGGAGCTACCAACAGTCCGTTATTTGTTCTTGTAGCGCCATCTACATAATATATGATAGTCAGAAAAAAATTCACCAATATCAATCCTGAGTTTTAATCAGTTAGTGAGAGAGTGATTTATGCGACAATGCTCTGTTTTACCTAGTTGTAATAAATATAGGTACGGAACCCTGGACTAAGTTCAGTATTGCTATGAAAGCTAGTGCTACCTTTGCACATCTAGACCTCCCATCAGCCTGCCAGTTGGGTTTCCACCTTGAGTGAGTGAACACGTCGACAGTTTAAAAAGATTTTTAAAGACCTTTTTACCTAAGTGTGTCTTAACTTGTGTTGTTTAGAAGTGAATAATATTATTTATTTCTATTTAATTAAAATTTCATATTGTATTAATAGATTTGCGTAAACTAAAAACGAGTACCAGTTTTTTTTATTTTTGGTAAGTACCGTTATTGTTTCAGTAGTTACTTACTTGAAACTTTCTTCTGAACATTTCAACTAAGTTCAAACTTATCTTGTTGTTATCAAACAGACTTGTTGCAGACATTTGCCGCGGAAATGTTAGCAACAAAATTATCACCATCTTTAACAACTTTTATTGGAAAACTTAGAATAGACTTAGGCATCGTGTTCTTAGACTTGCAAATTTATTTTGTGGCTCTATATTATTTTTTTAAAGTGCATACATAAATACGTTATTAATAATTTAGAAAATCGCATTTGTATTGACAACGGCAGTCTTTAAATATTTTCAAAATATTGCATAGGTAGTCGATAGCATACTTTTGGGTGTTTTATCTTAAGAGGAAATATGTATAGACCGAACTGAGTTATTTTATTCGTATGTCCGCGTGTCTTCTTGTTTGTTTGCCAAGATATTATGTCCCCTGTAAATCGTTCGGGCCTTTTTTACATATTTTGCATAAACGTATTTTTCAATAATCCGAGAAGTCAACACATCGGTGTCTTTTAGCGATGACCAAAAACTATACCTAAATAGTAAAAGATACATTTTTATTTTAAATAAGATACGGATTCCTATTTAGTATAAAAAATTTAATTATATTCATAGGAATGTAATCATGTGTTATTTACGGAAGCGTTACTACGACTAAGTACCTCGACCCGCGCCGACGCCGACGGCTACATAATATTCACACTGCAGCCCAATACGGCGACGGCTAACATTCACATAGAATTTTTTTTAGTAATGTTATGTAAAATACAAAAACACTAAATACCAGATCCGTGGAATCATTAATGTAATAAAACTATAGTCCTCACTTAGATGATTTTCAAATTATCAATTCATTGTCATAGTTTCATTTGCCAGCAGTTTTGTTCAGTCTATGTTTAACAGGCAATGGAATATTTTTTTATTTATTTCGTCTTTCATGTACACAATTTAATTACACATTGGCATATAAGGTGAATATCTTCACTAGCTTCTTGTTATTGATAATAATGAGTAGGCGTTCGGCCGCTATCTCGCCTGGCGATGATGCGGCCTACGATAGAGCACCCTTGCCCATTAGAAACCTATTCACTCGAGACTTGAAGACAGTTTGCAGTTTGAGTAGATGGAACATCTACCGAGCGGTGACTTTACTGAGACTCGGGCGTCTCTGAGCTCGGGTTCACACGATCATTGTATCTAATCCCTACCAACCACATGCAAATACGTTTAATACACCTGGCTATAGGCTGTCCTATGTAATCTACACTTGGGCTCCTTTCCAGAACATAGGTTCTGCAACAAATGTAACAGCCTCTCCTACTAGCTGATCACTGGGCTTATTTTGGTTCCCTTCTGCATAATTCAGGTGCTATCAAATTTTTGTCGGCTATAAGCAGTGGAAGTTATGTATGAAGATGACGAATCTATACTAATATTATAAACCTTAAAAGTTTGGCTGTTTGTTTGATGGTACTAATTTCTGGAACTACTCATCTGAATTGAATAATACTTTCTGTGTTGAATAGTCCATTTATGGGGGAGGACGTTATAAAGAAATGTTATAAAACATTATGCCACGATTAATAGAAACCGAGCAGCGTGCAGATGAAACCGAGCTATAGTTAGGTCATTACAAACGTGCGAAGACCAGAAGTATCCCGTCAAGGGAATATGCCAATGTCGCACTACCGGGTAAGTGTGAGCGAGAGATCAGAAAAAAACGACTTATGTATGACAGTTCGCACGTTTGTAATAGCTCAACTATCTTGCTGAGCTAGTCTTGTGATACAGGTATTTTAGGGAAAAAGCAAATATTATAAATAATTATGTTCTTATATTACAGATAGTAAATATGTAATCAGAAAATGTCGCTGGACGAGATACAGCTGAATGAAATCTCACCTGATTTCGACCCGAATAATTTAGAACCAAATCAAAGATTGGTTTATACAGTAGTACCGAATACAACGAACGGCCCATCATCCAACATTTCAGGTAAGCATGATCGTTTTATTTTCAACTATTAATTTTTATTTTAATGTCCGTCTGGTAGATTATTTTAAATCATTAGACACGTATTTTTTATTTTCTTACAGAAACGAATAATTTCGACGATATATTGATTTGAAATGTCGCGTGACGTCATTTCTATGTACTTACGTACATTTTATACGTAGAAATGACGTTTTAGCCCCCACTCCTAAACTTTGATTCGTTTTATCTAAGTATTGTTTTAATGTACGACAAAATAAAAAATACGAGACTAATATTTTTTCATTACCTAACTGACGGACTAATTATATTTTTATTTTTCATACCCTGTCATCATCCCAATTTTAAGTCGCGCTTAAGTATAGTTCTGTCACTACAAATTCTTTGTAAAATGACAGAGACGACACGGTATAAGTACAATTGATAAGCCTTTCAGTATTCGAGCGTAAAGGTCCGAATAGATTATGAGAGTGTAGACTTTTATAATGTTCAAATCATGGATGTTTTGAATTTTGTACTCATTTTATGCTTTATTGAGTAACATCTTAAATAATAGCTAAGATGTAGGTAAGTATTATGCTATACTGCGGTTGTTGGTAAATTAAAAATACCCCTACTTATATAAGGTGTTAATAAATTAGCTTCAGGAAATCTAAGGTTTTGTTGAAACATTTATTCCATAATTAATTACGAAAAAATAATTTAAAAAAAAAGCTACCGTTCTAAAGTTATTCCACTATTTGTGTTACACGTAAACACTCTAATATGCGCGCCTTACGGCGTATTAGGCCGTCGACGAAGCCCCGAGCGACCGCGCTGACGCAGGTGTCGTGGTAGGTACCGCGCGCTTATGTTACTACTGAACTGAACTTAATAATGTTTCATTTTAATAAACGACCACGCGACTCTGTTTAGATTATCTATCTGATTTGATATGCTTATAATTAAAATAGCATAGCTAGCTACAATGATTACTTAATTATGTCAATTTTTTGAATAGGTAAATACTAATAATAACTCGACCAAAAACCAATACTTCGGTAGTTAGTAGTACTAGTACTAGGTAGTTGGTAGTTACTTAGGTATTTATCATTTACAAGTATTCATCGGAATAAATGCCCGTCTCTAGATACTTAAGTATTAACAAAGAGTCTACCTTATTTACAGAAGATGCTGGAACTTGGAAGTGTCTTCCACCTTGTTCGATGCACAAGTTTGCACGACGCGACGTATTACGTTGTTTTTCACTCGCAATAATGTGTCTCTGTCACTTTTCTATCAAACGCGTTTATTATGCTTATTTTTAATTCGTTCGCGTTTCTAATCTCACTACCACTGACGAGCTGCAGATACATTTTCGCCACTTCTAATGTACCACATTAACATGTCTAAGTACTTGCGGTTACTGTACGTAAACGGCATTATTGAATATTGAACAACAAACAATAAAAAATGGCGCGTGCGATTGATCGGACACAACACTGAACGACACTGAGGGCCACACCCTTCCCGCGCGACAGCTATCGGTCAACTGGCGATCAAGAGAGAGAGAAGTGGGAAAGAGAGCGGGGCAACTAGCGAACGGGAGAGAGGGAGAAAGAGAGAGAGATTGCGATAACATGGGGACGGTGACGGCGCGCCATTGCTTCGCTCGGGCCGCAAGCGCAGCTCCACGTACGGTTTGCAAAAAAACTTTTAACCAACTCCTTTTTTTTGTTAAAAATAAAAGTCGTTAAAATTGTTAATTTTTTTTTTGCTAAACGTGTCAGTTTATTGATTCCCACCAACCA